CACAGTACACAGTCTTTCACCGGGACCAGATAACCTGAGCATTAGTGGCCCTCTTGCTGAGCACTTATTGAGTCTGGACCGGCTGCCTCCATCAGGATATGATGTCTTCGATGTGACAGCTGCAATAACCCAGCCACCGCGCCACTCAGACATCTTGGGCTTCCAGCTGCGCTTCGGGGATGAGAGCGGCAGCTTGGTTCTCCATGAAGCCCTGACGCAGAGCCTCTACTGCTTGAACAGCAGCTCTCTCAGCCAGCCGCTCTTAGTGGTCTACAGGAGCGCATCGATGGAGCACCAGCAGAGGGCATCAGGAGCGAGTTCAGACTCAGAGCACAGGCTCAGACCGAGCTGCATGGCCAGCTCTGAATATGACCGACAGAAAATACAGCTGAGGCATGGGAGACACTTAGCTGCATGCAAGCTGTACGTACATCATGTCAACCTTCATACCAGCAAGCTGAGTCAATGGATACTACAGCCGTCCAATTTCAACATAAGTATTTGTAGGTATGACCTGTCTGTGTGTAATATACCAAAAAGATGAGTCAGGGGTCTTGACAATATGTATAAGTTTAACCTCTTAACTGTCACATGTCCTCTCAGAGAGACGCCTAAGTTTACTTCACTATATTACAAACTAGTGCTGTCAAACGATTAATCGTGATTAATCGCATCCAAAATAAAAGTTTTTGTTTACATATTATATGTGTGTATACTGTGTATATGTATTATGTATATATAAACACAAACACATGCACGTATATATTTAAGAAAAATATGTTGTTTGTATATTAAATATATTTATATATAATATAAAATATAAGAATATGAAAATATAAATGTAAATATTTTCAAATATATATTGTTTGTGTGTGTATTTATATATACATGATTAATATACACAGTATACACACATATATCATGTAAACAAAAACTTTTATTTTGGATGCGATTAATCGTTTGACAGCCCTATTACAAATAAATCTAATCATGATCGTTAAATAAATCTAGGTATGATCCTATCTGTGCACTGTAAAAAAAAAAATACAGTAAAAAAACGGCAGCTGTGGTTGCCAGAATTTTACCGTAAAAAAATACGGTAGCAACTTTTTAGGTTTTACGGATTTAACTTACATTTACATTTAAATACCGTAATTATATAACTGATATCAATCATATTAATTAATATTAATACACCAACCTATTGAAGAACTGAAATCTGTTTTGTACCTTTGTAATACACTGATAACCACCAAATGCAGGAGGTGATGAGAAAGTCACATGATGAACCAAAGCCCATCACAAGCAGCTTTTAGATAATAACATATATAGAAG